GGCATAAGCTTTCGTGGGTAAAAACCTCACTTCTTCAGATGCATCTGAAGAAGTGAGGTTTTTACCCACGAAAGCTTATGCCCAAATAAATCCGTTAGTCTTTAAGGTGCCACCAGACTCCTTGTTGTTTCAATGAGTTCAATGACTGAAAGCTGATGCCCGACAAATCCAGGCTAACAAAATTGTCTGGTAAAAATCAACAAACAGCCCAGTAATGTAATTTTCTAACAGGATTATTGTAATAGTGTTGATTTTGAAACAAATCTATGTTGTCCCTGTTTGAACACGAATTGTTAATTTCATGACCATTCATGGCCCACGGTACAATTTCCATACCCAGATGTGGCCAAAAAGTTCGCCACCCCTGTCCCACTCCACCCCGCCCCCGGTTCCAGCCGCTCCGCCCCGCAGGCCCCCGCGCGCCACTCACCCCGCGGCCCGGCGGCGGTCCCCGCCCCCGCGAGCCCCCCGCTCTCTTGCTCCACTAGGGGCGCGAGCAGCGCCGAGACCTGCTCCTGCAGCTGGGACAGGCCGCGCAGCAGCCCCCGGAGCTCCCCGCCGGCGCCGGTCTCGGGCTGGCAGCGCACGCGAAGCGGCCGCTTCTGCCCGTCGCGCCCGGTCAGCTGCGCCCGCAGCTCCATCCCCGCAGCCCGGCCTGAGGGGCAGAGACCGGCAGCACAGCTGCCCAATCAGAATCCGCCCTACGCACCCTAACCCGGAAGCCCTCGGCGCCCACGAGGCAACGGCCCCTCCAAACTCGCCCCGGCAGCCGAACCGCGCGCGCGCGCGCGCGCAGCAACTCTCGCGGGGCCACTATGCGCGAACTGTCTGACCGCCACCTGCCTCGTCATGTGACTACTCCTCTATCACGTGGTACTGACCAGCCCCGCCCCACCCTTTGTGACTTGTTGCTATGTGCCCGGTCTGCCCGTGTCACGCGCTGAACCCTTGTTTTGCGGTCTCGCGCGTCACGTGGTGTGTTGGCAGTTCCGCTTCCGTTGTGGCGGCGCCCCCCAGCGTTGGGTCTCGTTTCCCGCCTTGTGCCGCGTCTGCCTCGGTCGGATCCCGCGATGGAAGCTGCGGCCGGGGGCGCTGAGCCCGCTGGCGGCTGCGCGGGGGCCCCGGAGGAGCCCGTGGTCTCCCTGGCTGACGTGCTGGCGGAGAACGAGGAGCTCGAGAAGGAGGCGCGGGCGGTGCTGGGTGGGAGCGATCACGAGCGCTGCAGCTACTCCCAGGTGAGGGGGCGGGGCCGGGCGAGCGAGCGAGCGGCTCGGGGCCGGGAGGCAGCGGAGGGGTGGGTGGGAGCCTCCTGCAGGCGGAGAAGAAACGGCGGGGGCCGGACTTGGAGCCAAGGCAGGTGCACTGGGAGCGGCTCCCCGCGACTGGGCAAGTTGGGGGGGTGGGGCGAGGGAGCCAGCGGGGTGTGTGTGGTGGGGCTGTCGCGGGGCAGGGTTGGGGTGAGTCTCAGTCTTTGATTTTCTTCAGGAGTCCCTAGGTGGGGTCCTGTTTGAGCCAGAACCCGACAAGTGCCACTCGGGGCGGTGCTTGGCCTCCCCCTCTGCCATGCACTCGGTGCCCCCTTTGTGGCAAGCTCAGTGGCAAGGCTGGACTGCGGAGATGGCCCCTCTGGGGTAGAGGGAGAGGTCCAACATCCTTGTATTTTGGGATACCCTGTCTTTGATAGGGTCCTTTTCTGTGCTCTTTCTCTCTCCCACGCATCGTTTGCAGGCTGATAGTGGGGCCCCACAACATCCAGTTCAAGAGTTTACCCCATCAGACAAAATGTAGTCGTCGGCAACTGTTATGTGATGGTCATTGGTGGGAGACAAAGTTGGGGCCTCTGCCTGCTCTGTGGGTAGAGGACTTGGTGTCCACAGCATTCTGCCTAGCTCTGAACTCGCTTAACCCATAGTTTCCTCTCCATGCATGCATCCGATGAAGTGGGTTTTAGCCTACGAAAGCTTATGCCCAAATAAATTTGTTAGTCTTTAAGGTGCCACAAGTACTCTTCGTTCTTTCAACAAATTATCCCACTTCCTATTTATTCAAGTACAGGACTTGGTTCATGAGAAGCAAACCCTGGTGTGGCTCAGGGTGCGTCTCACGTATTGCAAGAGCTTTGTCTTGAAAAAAAAATTGCATTTCCAGGTTCAGGAAACATATATTCACATCCTCATTGCATTTATCCTAGTCTATCCCCTTTTAAAGAGCTATTCATAGGTCAGCATTTTGGACTACAAGAAGGCACTTGGCAACTTTGTGAATGCACTAACTAAATGCCTTGTTGTTTTTGCACCCAGTGCCAGCTTGCCCCCCAAACACTAACTTGCTCCCTAAATCAGGGGTGGGCAAAGTACGGCCCGCGGGCCGGATCCGGCCCCTCAGGGCTTTGGATCCGGCTTGCGGGCTGGATCCGGCTCCTCAGGGGGTTGGATACAGCCCGCGGGATTGCCACCCTCGTGGGGCTATGGGCCCCACGCCGCTCCCGGAAGCGACCAGCACCACGTCACTGAGGCCCCGGGGGGGTGGGCAAACGGCTCCGCGTGCTGCCCTCACCTGCTGGTACTGCCCCCCGCAGCTCTCATTGGCCGGGAATGGGGAATTGCGGCCAGTGGGAGCTTTGAGGGAGGTACCCACAGGGGAGGGCAGCGTGCTGAGCCGCTCCAGGTAAGCGGTGACAAGCCCGAGCCCACACCCCAAACCACTTCTGCACCCCAACCACCAGCCTTAAGCTCCCTGCTGCACCCTGCACCTCTCCTGCACCCCAACCCTTGCCCTGATTCCCCTGACACACCCCACACCCATTTTGCGCCCCAACCCCCTGCCCTGAGCCCCCACCGCACCCCTCCTGCACCCCAACCCCCTGCCCAGAGCATCCGCCGAAT